GAACAATGGCACATTACGTATTCTTTTAGCCACAGTGCTTTAAGAAGTCCTTAGGACTCTAATAAGACCATGGTCAGATGGGATATATTGGTTAAGATCCAGGCCGGCTTGCTCTGGTTGTCTAGTTTTCATTCTTTCATTTGTGCAGGTAGAATGAACAGGGAGAAATGGATTCATGACATCACAGGGGCCCAGCTCTTAGTGTAATGTTTTGGTACCACCATCTTGAAATTTTGAACACTTTTTTTCTCTTTTTGATGGTACTGGGGGCTGATCTCAGGGACTTGCACTTGGTAGGCAGGCGGTCTACTACTTGAGCTGTGCCTCCAGCCCTTGAATACTTATTGAAGGAGGCTTTCCTCATTTTCATTGTGTACTCACTGGAGGCCTGGCTCAGGTGGTACAGTGCTTGCCTAGCAAGTGCAAGGCTCTGAGTTCAAACCCCAGTGCTGCCAAAAGCAGAAGGCAAACTGATAATCGTTGAGCACCAGCCCTACAAATTCCATAGCAGGTCCTGTCTTTGTCCCTAGCTGTTTTATTGTTGGTTAGAGGATCCCAAATATTGACAAAAAGAGAATGAGATGAGGTGGACAGGGAACGTGAGCTAAAGAAATAACTAGAACCCATCTGTGTTTATGTTACTGCTCTAATATGGGTTCTTGTATGGAGAGATTTCTGTTTTATGCAAAAAAATTCCTGCCTGTGAAATTCCTGTATTTACAAGTGAAGATGCTATCTTCTGGGAAGTGGAAATAGGGAGAGAATCCAGGGCAATGTGACAGCTTCTTACTGTCACATGAAATATCTTTTCTTCTTTTTTGCGTCATGAGCAGCATGGGCCTGCAAATTTGGCTCTGCTGGTGAAATTCCAATGCCAGGGATTTCTGGTGGCTCCTTTCCAAATGGAGGCAGCCCTGGGCAGGTGCTTCGGCTGTGATCCCTGTTCTTGTTTAGCATGTGACCGAGCTCATGTCCTCCTTGTTGGTACTCAGATGGCCCCTCTGGTGAAGCCCACCCTGGTCACAGTTACAACTGCGGCTCTCTCCCTTCTTCACTCCTCATCCTCCTGAGCCTATTTCACTTCTTTTCATTGGTGTGCAAAGGCTTGACACATAGTAGGTGCTTACTAACCATTGTTGGGTGAAGGCATGAGAGAGTAAGCTGACAGATACATAGCTAACTCTTGAACTTAAGCCTTAGAATAAAAATGGCAGCTACCCTGTGAGCGCCTATCTCTGATGGGTCTGTTCTCTGCAAATCAATCCTAGTGCTCACAAATAATCTGTACACACCGTCAAGCAGCACTGTTTTGGAAAGTCTAAGATGTCCAGCGGTTTTCCCTTTTGGGTATCCCCATGTTAAGATTGGTTTTTTCAATGTTCCCCTAGGGGTGGAGATAAGGCAAGGTGCTCCAGGTAGAGGAGGATGCCAAGAGTGCATGGGATGTAACTTATCCCAAGGGCATGGCTCTGTTTCCCAAGCACTCACTGGCCTCTGCACTGTCCTTCAGTGTGGGCCAAGTTCACTTTCAGAGAGGAACCCTGGAGGGATAGTTCGGTTTGTGATAAGTTCTCTCCTTTATCTTACTTTTCTCAAAAGTACTGGAGACATTGATATTGTCAGTTCCTGTAACATTAAAAATGAATTTCAGCTAGGTGCAGTGGCTCACATCTGTAATCCCAGGTTTGAGGTTAGCCTGGGCAAAAAGTTAGTGAGACCTCCCCCACCATCAACCAATAAGCAAGGCATTGTGGTGCACGTCTATAATCCAGCTACTTAGGCGGTATAGGTAGAAAGATCAGTCTGAGGCTAGCTCAGACTATTCAAATAGTCTTTTGAATAGCTCAGCCTATTCAAAAATGACAAAAACAAAATGGGCTGGGGGCAGAGCTCAAGGGGTGCAAGGCTCTGAGTTTGAACCCCAAACCACCAAAAAAAAAAAAAAAAAAACCCAAAAAAACCAAAAACCCAAAACTGAATTTCAAATGACTAGCTCTCTCTTTGTATTAACAAACTGGTTATTTGTCAAAATATGTACTAACTTGAAAATTGCCTCAAGAGACTTTTTAGGTAAGAAGCATGATATTTAATCACTTTGAAGTAGACCTGAGTTTGAATTATAGTTGAAAACTGAGCTCTTTGGCTAAGTTTGACCATTTAGCAAGAATCACTGCATTGATGAAGGTAGAACATGAAAGTCAGTCATTAAGCAGAGTGTATGTTTGGAGCACCAAACTGAAGTGAATTCTTTTAAATAATTGCTTCAGAGTACTTTCATAATTTTGCCTTCATTGTCCTCAAATGTTTTTTGTTTTGGTGGTGCTGGGCTTTGAACTCAGGACCTTATGCTTGCTAAGGCAGGCACTCTGCCTCTTTAGCCACTCTGCCAGCCTGTCCTTAAATGTTTGAAAAGACTTCAGACTAATCTAAAATTCAATTTACTGATCCGAGAAATGAATGACACCATTACAGTAATTTACTTTTCAATCTGAGAGCCTAAGTACCACTTTCTATCTACTTAATGCGTTTAAATTTTTTTTTTTAGAGGAAGGCTGTCACTTGGTTCTATCAAATTATAGGCTTGTATATTATTTCTTCAATTATTTGTAGTGGAAATAATGAGGTTTTTTGGCCCTTGAAAACAGATGGAATTAAAATACCAAAGTAAAGTTTATTTAATTTTACAGCCAGGAGTTGGAGGAACACATTTTAATAAGAAAAAATCAAATAGAGCTTATTGTGTGAAAGGTTTTTTTTCCTTCCAAAGTGAAACTCTATGAGTTGCTGTGTCTTGCTACTTTGGTGAATTTCCTTCTGATTTTGCTCTTGAAGTACATGAAAATTACTTCAGTACAGGAAAACAGTTAAACGAGAAGACTGTCTCTGAGTTTTAGTGTTGGTCAGAGATTCTGAAGATTTTAATGTTTTTCAAAAATGAGACAATCCCTGCAAGTTCCCTTGGTTACCATGCATTTCCATTTTCTCAGGAAGAGAGAGAACAGTGAGGTGGCTTCCTGGGGAGGGTCAGGGTGGAGGGAGCTGGCGTTCCCCAGTGTCCAGGAGGAGAGTGGATGTGTTGTTTCCATGGACACACACTGCTCCATTTTCCCTCTAGGTGGTGACAAAAGTGACTGAGTTTTGTCTGGCGAGGTGGAGGGTAATGGAAATTTGTTCCTACAAATTCTTTCCATTTTCCCCTACAATCTTCATATAAGTATTACTTCTAAGCTATAATCACTTTGTGACCTTACTTTGAAGACTTGCTTAATTTTTTCTAATGGGATAGGTTTGGGTTAATGGAATAATCCATAAAGCCAGTTTATTATTTTTAATAATAAAAAAGCATAGATCAGTATATTCAGGAAATCACCTACCCACTTGACTCTTTTTAAGGAATTATGACCCTATTTCTATTCCTAGTTGCATTTGGCCCCTTGCTGAAAATTTCTACCCTTCCTGAATAATATATCTTGGGACCAAGTGTTGCTTCAGTAAGAGATTGTAGGTCACTAGAGGTAGACCAGGGTTTAAACTAGTCTGTGTCCTAATTCATAAGGAAAATACAGAAGAAGGGTTTTGTCTACCTGAGTATTTCATTGAGTATATGACTTCATTTAGTTGGTTAGGTGGCAGGAGCCTTAGGACAAATGGAGCCTGTGACCACACAACTCTCACGGTCTGGTGAAGTAACCTTTAGACAACAGCTGTGGTGTCAAAGGCCTTGCCAAAAACAACAGAGCAGAGAGGAGTTCCTGTCCCTTCAAACAGGACAGCTGAAATGGTGGCCAGGTTTAACAACAAAACAAAACAAACAATAGTCCAGGCCAAGCTTTTATGATGAGAAAAAAATAGAAAAATTAGAACTTTGACATTGAAAATGTCTTGTCTTTGAGAAAAGTGCCAACCCCATCTGTGGACTCTGGATCCCTTACCACTGGGCAAGCACACATTTACCTGATTGAGTCCTTTCTGGGGAGAAATGAGACCATGTATCCATTTAATAAAACTCCTAAATTAGGATTAGCATTACTAGTTATGACACAAGAATTTAAAGAGCAAAGAAAAATTACCTCCTACCTACCCTGTTTCAGTATCTGTTTTTAAAAAACACTTATTTCTTCCTGAAAGCTCATTTCAGTGGTAGAAAATATGAGAAACTGGGTGTTGATTTCAAAAAGGTATTTTTTCCTTAAACATGAGAACAAAAGTCACAGCTAATGATAAATGATCGTGTCACAGATTTCCAGGTTTTTGGCAAAAACGGTGCTTAATAAAATTAAAAAAAGCTGGATCACTTAAGAAAAGTAATTCATTTCTTACTTTGACTCTTTCCCCAAACAAACAAAAAATGTACTCATCTCCTTCCCAGTATTAAGGAAATATTTTCCAGACTCATAGCATGTACCGCGTTCCTCTATCAGGATCTTTTTAACTCTATGCCTGTGTTGGAAAGTGATCTCAGAATTAATCTGATACGCATTTTGCTACTTTTCTCTTGTTTAACACTTAGCTTCAGTATCCCAACCTTCATTTTAATGCTGCTAGACTTTCTGGAACATACCTAGTGTCAACCAAGAATAAAAAGTTTCAGGTCATTTGTTTTATTTCTTTTTCTCTCCCCCTTTAAAAACATTTCAACTTTTTGCTCTATTCATTGATTTAAAAAGTTTCCAAGCTGACGATCTGGTTTTTTTTTCATCTAATGTCTGTCAAAAAGAAATGTAAGAAAAAGCTGCCTTTGTAAGGTACACAGAAGGTGGAGGATTTAAGCACAGTGCTTTAAAAGCTGTTTAAAATGTAGGCACCGACTGCGGGAACCAGGACATTTGCCCTGCACTCAGCCAAGAGTCACAGAGGTTTCACCAGGGTTGAGAGAGGCAGGGAAGTGTCCCATGAAGGCTGACAGTGCCTTACAGTGGCTCAGCGACAAGGACAGCTAGCAGCCGGTGCCTTTCTTCTAAGCAACCACCTTAATGAGCTCAAACTGGAGGCAGACTTACTGTGATGGCCTGGAGTCTTCCCTTCACCAGCTCGGCTTCTTCCATTGTAGAAGTCAAGGACAGGAGGACGTTGAGGGAAGTCCAAAGCTACCATAAATCGAGCAGCCTCCTTGGAGAGAGATCAGGGGTGACAGCAGAGAAGCAGGGAGAAGTCTGCGTTAGCACAGGGAGAAAGGGAGAAATTCCTGAGTTGTCAGGAGCGTCTTTGAGCAGATGCATAGATCAGGCCAGACAGACACATGTAATAAGGGTGTGGGGGGAGGCAGAGGCCGAGGCTGCTGGCACAGTTGACTGACAAGTTTGAACGGCAGCGGCACAAGCCCTTTTCCTTCAGGAGCTGCCAGCTCTTTGTTGTAATGTGCACAGTTAGCAAGGCACATTTTCTTATTAACTGTTCCTTCCCCAAGTCATTATTTCCCAGGAGTGGCACAGACAACCAGTGCTGAGTGTTTTAATCAGCACATGCTCCAGCCACACACAGCCAGCCCCCTACTTGTGGGTCTGTCTGTGTTTGTCTGAAGTTAGTTCACCCCACTCCTGCTCCAGAGTTGCCAAAGTAAGAGCCTCAGGTTGACAGGGCACAAGTGCCAAGCCCCTTGTTTGCCTTTCTCCCTCGGTGGCATCTATAGCTTCTTTAGATCCTCACATGGAGGTAGATTTGCATCAGGCTGGCCTCCCCTCCCACCTCCTCACCTCCAGCAGTTTGTTGCAACCTTAGACTTTTAGATCAAGGAGAATCAAAGGAGTTAAGGTGACAGTTTTAAAAGGTTGGCCCACTAGGGGTCAAGAGTGTCCCCTCAGTTGCTGCTTCACTTGGACTTCTGTGGAATGTGGCTTTTTCTTGGACCTCGTTCAGAAAAGACACTCTGGGCTTTCAGGAAAGCGTCCAGTTTGACCTCAGCAGTTATGCAAGAGAAAGAAGTGAGCCTCTGTGACTGCCAGCAGCCCTGCACTGGGTGACACTCCCATGCCCTGTGGAGAAGGCTGTGAAGCCCAGTGAAATTTGGAGGTTGAAGCCGAGACTGGGAAGCCTTGCAATTGACTTTTTCCCTACCAGTTCTTTAATTAAGTTTTGATGCGCTCAATCCTAATTGCCACCTGCTTCATTATTACTGTTCAGATGCTATCAGGACCTTTGTGTCAACGTTCAGCTGAAGAGGTTAAAAGGACAAACCAAACATTGAACATGTGGTTTAATTTCCTTTGTGTTATTTTATATTAATAACTCTGATCGCTAATATTTGCCGAGCACACACTCTTAGACACATGCATTGTGTCTGCCTATTTATCTTAAAAGGTGCTGGCCAAAAGGTACTATTTCTCTTATTTTTAAAATGAGGCAACAGGTTCAGAGAGATAATTTGTTACATGGCAAAAAAGTAGCAGAGTGAGAATCAGAACCTCAGTTGTCTGACTTTGTAACAGCCATTCATCAAGGTTTGCCCAAGGTGAGATGCAGGCTGAAGGTTAAATCAGTCATCTAGCTCCCAAAATGCTTACAGCTGGGTATAAAACCTTCAGGGTGAACCCTGTGTGAGTATCCTCTGGAGACAGGGCCCTCGTGGAATAAGATCTCCGCATATTGTCATTTGGGGCTCCCCCAACATGGAGGTCACATCCCTGAGTCAAGCAGCCTCAGAGGAAACCTAACTCTTCCAAGGGTCTGAAATTATACTTGAGAGTAGTTTACTTTATCTTTGTTCTTCCATCCTCAAAAGAGACAGTTAAAGAGATTACAGAATAGAATGGATGACACATGGACCAGGTTGATTACTGTGGGGTGGATATTTAAGCTAAAAAAGAAAAATTAAACCTTCAAAGCATTTTGATTTTGTTTATCTGCAGATCTTGGCTGAAATTAAAGAGAAGCAGTAGTGATAAATATCTCCATCAGAACCGCATATTCACTGCCCAAAACAAGTGGGCACTCATCCAATTATTCATCTGGATCTTTTTCTAAAATCAATTTATCTCTCAAATCTCATTTCTGCTATGGGAAAACCCGAGGGTTTTCTAGTGGAGGAAGGACTGTATAAAATGAGAGGATCAGGGAATTCTAAATCAGGGAATTTAGAAAGGACAGAGTTGTGCCAGCCAAATGGTGATAGCGTGTGTTTATTCATCTGTACAGTTGACAAGACAGTAGTTGCTAATACTTTAGAAGTGTTTGTTATTCATTCACCCTGTGCAGATTTATTGAGTGCCTGTCATGCACTGTGCTAAGTGTTTGGGATACATGAATACAAAGATTCCTGCTTTCCTGGAATTCATATTCTGGGAGACAACAAGAGAAAAATATACTAAGTAAGTGGGAGGTAGTAGATGAGAAGGCGACTATGTTTTTCTGTGTCCTCTGAGAAACAAATGCCAAGACAGGTTAAATGTACAAAGCTGTAGTAGGACAAATGAAAAAATGAAAAAGGGGGAGGTAGGCAGAAAAGGCTGGTGCTGCAGCAATCTGGGAGACCCAAGTGAGAGGGAGAGGGAGGGGAAGTTTGGTGGAAGCAGCCTAATCTGCACAGCAGTTTAAGGGACATTGGCAAGACCATCAAGAAGTCCTGGCGCCAAAGGTGGCCACCATACTGGTCCTGTGTCTCCCAGGCTGCCACACTCAGTGATTGGCTAGGAGCAGTGCCGGAAAACATGGCCAGGATAAACAGGGATGGAGTGCAATGTGCAGCACTGGGGACCCCGTCTGTTATGCTTCTGTGGTTGGATGTCCCATAGTGATAATGCTAAGGGAAAAGAGCAGGGGAGGAGAATAACGGTTTCAGTGTAGAATTGGGCCATCAAGAAAGCTTCAGTGAGGGGAGCATTAGAATAAGGCCTTAAAGGAGAAGTGGAGCTAGCCATGAAGACACCAAGGGCAAAAGCGTATTTGGAAAAGCTTGTGCAGGTCTTATGCTGGGCTATACCCTAGCATATTGTAAGAACAAGGTTTTTGTGGCACAGAGAGCACCAAGGGCAGGGGAATGGGAGAGGTAGCAGGAAATATAACTGTGCCATTGTGAGGCCTTTAGGCTTTCCTCTGTGTGGGTGAGATGCAGCTGAAGTGTTTGGAGCAGAGGGGTGTTTTGCATGGACAGAAGCAGAGAGGTGCGAGATGCTATTGTCTAATCCAGGGAAGAGATGCTGGTGGCTTGTTCTAAGGTGGTAACAACGACGGTGGTGGAATTGCTTTTGTATATTTCAATCCTCTTGGTAGAACCAACAGCATTTCCTGAGATCAGATAGAGGGTTTAAGAGAAAGAGAAGATTCTGGAGAATTCTATGTCTCTTGACCTGAGCAAATAGAAATTGTCATCGACTGAGATGGGAGAATTGGTGAAATATATATATATATATATATATATATATATATATATATATAAACTTTTTTTTTGGATCATTAGATTTTCAATTTCTTTTTTTTTTCATTTTTCTTTTATTATTCATATGTGCATACAAGGCTTGGTTCATTTCTCCCCTGCCCCCACCCCCTCCCTTACCACCCACTCCCCCCTCCCTCCCCCTCAATACCCAGCAGAAACTATTTTGCCCTTATCTCTAATTTTGTTGTAGAGAGAGTATAAGCAATAATAGGAAGGAACAAGGGTTTTTGCTGGTTGAGATAAGGATAGCTATACAGGGCATTGACTCACATTGATTTCCTGTGCGTGGGTGTTACCTTCTAGGTTAATTCTTTTTGATCTAACCTTTTCTCTAGTTCCTGTCCCCTTTTCCTATTGGCCTCAGTTGCTTTAAGGTATCTGCTTTAGTTTCTCTGCATTAAGGGCAACAAATGCTAGCTAGTTTTTTAGGTGTCTTACCTATCCTCACCCTCCCTTGTGTGCTCTCGCTTTTATCATGTGCTCATAGTCCAATCCCCTTGTTGTGTTTGCCCTTGATCTAATGTCCACATATGAGGGAGAACATACGATTTTGGTCTTTTGAGCCAGGCTAACCTCACTCAGAATGATGTTCTCCAATTCCATCCATTTACCAGCGAATGAAATTTCGTTCTTCTTCATGGCTGCATAAAATTCCATTGTGTATAGATACCACATTTTCTTAATCCATTCGTCAGTGCTGGGGCATCTTGGCTGTTTCCATAACTTGGCTATTGTGAATAGTGCCGCAATAAACATGGATGTGCAGGTGCCTCTGGAGTAACCTGTGTCACAGTCTTTTGGGTATATCCCAAGAGTGGTATTGCTGGATCAAATGGTAGATCGATGTCCAGCTTTTTAAGTAGCCTCCAAATTTTTTTCCAGAGTGGTTGTACTAGTCTACATTCCACCAACAGTGTAAGAGGGTTCCTTTTTCCCCGCATCCTCGCCACACCTGTTGTTGGTGGTGTTGCTGATGATGGCTATTCTAACAGGGTGAGGTGGAATCTTAGTGTGGTTTTAATTTGCATTTCCTTTATTGCTAGAGATGGTGAGCATTTTTTCATGTGTTTTCTGGCCATTTGAATTTCTTCTTTTGAGAAAGTTCTGTTTAGTTCACTTGCCCATTTCTTTATTGGTTCATTAGTTTTGGGAGAATTTAGTTTTTAAGTTCCCTGTATATTCTGGTTATCAGTCCTTTGTCTGATGTATAGTTGGCAAATATTTTCTCCCACTCTGTGGGTGTTCTCTTCAGTTTAGAGACCATTTCTTTTGATGAACAGAAGCTTTTTAGTTTTATGAGGTCCCATTTATCTATGCTATCTCTTAGTTGCTGTGCTGCTGGGGTTTCATTGAGAAAGTTCTTACCTATACCTACTAACTCCAGAGTATTTCCTACTTTTTCTTGTATCAACTTAAGAGTTTGGGGTCTGATATTAAGATCCTTGATCCATTTTGAGTTAATCTTGGTATAGGGTGATATACATGGATCTAGTTTCAGTTTTTTGCAGACTGCTAACCAGTTTTCCCAGCAGTTTTTGTTGAAGAGGCTGCTATTTCTCCATCGTATATTTTTAGCTCCTTTGTCAAAGATAAGTTGCTTATAGTTGTGTGGCTTCATATCTGGGTCCTCTATTCTGTTCCACTGGTCTTCATGTCTGTTTTTGTGCCAGTGCCATGCTGTTTTTATTGCTATTGCTTTGTAATATAGTTTGAAGTCAGGTATTGTGATACCTCCTGCATTCAACAGATCAATTTCACATGGAGATGCCAAATACTGAATAGGCAATTGGATATGGTGTTTGGAATTTTGGAAAAAAGTCTCAGATGGATTTATAAAATATATCTCTAGAAGTAAGTTGGGCCACAAAATATCTAAAATTAGATAAAAAACAGAATAGTCTAAGGAGCTAGTATCCATCAAACAGTAACTATGTATTCATGACCAAATTCAGCCTTTGTAAAACAGATATCTAATAGGGCTCTCTGTGCTTTCAGTTGTCTTATTAAACCAGTTTTATTAAATATCTTGTTGCTTGTTAAC